ATGCCATTATCAGACAACCTCTGATTCTAATGTCACTCACAAGGAATAATCCTAAGTGTTGGATCACTCATTTAGTCGCTCGTCACTGCGCTCGATTTAGGAGACTGAAAGGGTGCGATAACATTGCGAAATGAAAGGTGTGGCCATGCGCATGTTTTAAAGAGAGTTAAGAATACGTCTGTGAAGATTATCACAAGTTTTATCGCGCAATTTGAAGAGTTGCGTTAGCCTAGGTTGTATTTCCTACGTAGGTTGAGGACATGTCCAGTCTCTGAGGTTATTAGGCTGAAATCAAACTCTTAGTATACATCTGGGAGCAGACTTCCATTGGGGACGTAAGCTGTTTACTGTGTATGAGAGTTAATGTTCATGATATGACTGTTAGTTATTTTATAACTAATTGTAGTTATGTCATAACTAACCAATCAGATTGGTTCAGCGCTCACCACGTTATCTAGTTTGACCGGTCTATAAACTTTCTTTGTTGTGAATGACCTGTCGATTGAATGATGTTATTATTTTATTTTATATAGATGTGACTCATGTTTTTCATTCATTTTCTAAAGACACGCTATACTGGCCGGTACGTTTGCTCATCTTACTTGATAATTGTAATTTCCTTATTTATTGTACTAACTAATTAGTTTTCTTTTGTTTAGAAACAGATAAAGTTTAAAACCAAATTGACTTTTAATAACTATAGCTCTACTCTTGACTCTGTCAGCGGCAGTATTGCGCTTAGGGTTTTAGAATTACATCTGTAGGACAAATTAAATCCTACAATAACATTTCGACTGGTTGAGTTTTAACCCACTATCCACTGACGATTCCTCTGTTGCTGGAAGGTCCTGTTAAAGCTCAGTCACATCGTCTTCGCTCTTTATGGACTTCCAGACTTTTGCGTCTAATAAATCGATGAAAAATATCAGGAAGAGCTGTGGACACAGGATAGTTCCTGTAAACCCCTGATGTTGAGACTCACGAGCTCGAATGAACTCTTCGCTTTTCTGTTGAAGGCTTTCGAGAAATCATGAAGTATTATATGAAGTCGTATTTTTTATCCTTGCAGGTTTTCCAGATGCCTCGTGAAATAAGAACATTAGTTGAGCATAACTTGACTCTTCCGAACCGGTGTTCGGTTCCAGGGAGGATGTTGTTTTTATGCACGTAATCCCTTGTTTACTCATTCACCAGTCCTTCCATTACCTTCGCTAGTATTGGTGGTGATGAAATTCATCTGTAACGGGCTGAATCTACTTTAAAAAATAGGGAAAGAGGGGCTTCTTTCCATCAATCTGAGAGTTGGTGTGACCCCAGTAAATGCCTGAACAGGTCTCATACCAATGAACTGAGTGATTCTATACACGGCTTCAAAATAATATCCTGGTGACTTTCCTTGCAAAAGATTTTAGTTTTCTTAGTGCTAAGCCCGTAGTAAGACGGATATTCCCTAAGCTATCGGCTAGAACTAGGTTTGAGAAGTATTCTGGACTCCGTAGTACCTGGTTTAACTGATCAGTGAAGTCGATGTTAAAGATTTCATTCATCTCTATATTGGTAAGACCATCACCATTTGGTTCCTTGAGATTACAAACACCATGGTCTGCAGGTTATCTTTTCGTTATGACCCTAAAACGATATTTTGGACTTGCCTGTAATGTTGCAGCTAGCTTTGTCTTGAAGCGTCGCTTATGTCTTCGAACTTTAGCATTGCATCTGTTTCTTAATGTCAGTTAAAAATGACTGTCGCAATATTTCAGAGAGACCTTCCATTTGTGCCTGGCTCTTCTTTTAGATTGTAGCAAGTGTTCTGTGCCTTGCTTAACCCGTGTTCTTCTCTATTCAGATATGTTATTCCCCTGAGTTACATTGTGAATAACAGCCTTTCTAATGGTGTCCTGATTTACTATTAAAGTCCGTCGCTTTCTTGGCCATTGGGCGAGTAAATGTTCTCTTATGGCCGTGCAAACGTCCCTCCTTTAGCAGAAGTGAGACGTGTTTTCTTCCTCTCGAATTGTTTCGTTTGTGGCCATGTTGAACATAACTGCTCCATAGTCGCTACTCCTTACTGGTGTGCAGCCACGGATATCCTTGAGCAGGAGCTGATACTTTGTTAACAAATGACGCAGGTTTTGGGGGTTTTACTCCTTAGTCCATCTAGTGGCGTTACATACATCCTCAGTCTGACCAGAACTCTTAATGGCTGAGCCAAGTCGCTTTTGGAACAAATCTGCGGAAGCTGAAAGCTGTTTGTTGAGACTTATATATCGAGTGTTGAAATCTTCGGCTAAAAGTATTTGATCAAACCTAAGGAGAGGTAGCTGAAATATTGCCTCAACCAACTGATCATTCTGAGCTTCAGCACTTCAGCAGGGGTTGTAAATCCCCCAATAAATTATTTTGGACCATTCATGTTGAGGCAACACCAGAACCACAGACAAGGGTGACTCAGAGTGCACCCATATCTACTGCCTTGATACACATGCATTGCATCTGTTACATTCAAAAGTAGAGTTGTTAGTTTAGTTTGACTCTGGGCTTGCGATGCATTTATTGATGTTGTTATCTTTCTGGACGGCAGGCTCCTTGATGTGAGTTTACAAACACATTTTCCCCATATTCCTATTGTGTCGACTAGTTTTACCAGGAGTAGGATTCTGGAAGGGAGTGCCATCCTGTTTTCTTTCTTGGAGACTCAGTGGAGGTGTCTGGACCAACTGCTCCTAGTTAAATGAATGTGTCTATCCTGCCATTGTTTTTTAAGCAACTTGTGGAATACTGATTGCCTTGAATTTTTGGCTTTCCATTATAATTAAGTGCCATTTGCTGTGAAGATCCTTTTATTTAATAAATTAACCAAGCTTGGCGAAAGTAATGAAACTGTTAGATAGGATTAAATTTGTTCTGCAGATGTAATTTTAGAACCGTAAACGCGATACTGGTGAATACACAGTCTGTGGGAAAGCTACAGTCAGAACAAAAACAACTTGGCTTTAAACCTTATCTGTTTCAATTAGTATGGCGTGTGTTATAGAAATGAATAAAATTATGAGTCAGATTATAATAATGTCTTTCAACTGGTAGGCCACATGCAACAGAGATAAATTACAGACACATCAGACCAAAACAAGCTGTGAACGCTTAAATCAGGATTTTATTGGTTAGTTGTGGACATAACGAACACTAATATGCAGTAAACTAACTCTCTAAACCGTCGTTTTTATGTTACCGGACAACCAGTTGGAGTGAGAACATAAAATATATGGAGAGTTCTGGTTTGACGTTCTGTAACCCCCCAGAATTGAAAAAACAACTTCATTCAAAGGGATGTAATCATAACATAGAATATTTCTTAAGATCCAGCTTGCACTGCTAAAACCTCGCAAATTTGGCGTCGGCGAAAATGAGCTAATAACAGTACGGGAACAGAAATCTGTGCGAACATTTCCGTTGTCAGCACAACTTACATATGTAACAGGAATTGGGAAGTGGTACATAAGGTGTTTGCGATTACGTAGGTTAATTTTTTACGCAAGACGTTGCTAGATGCAGATATACCGCTGGTATGCCATCCATCAATCACTAATTTTTTAAACACAATGAACTTTACTTAAGGAAAAGGTTCGTACATATAAGTGCGCAGAAAAGAACAATTTTAAGAATCCATATTCAAGTTCATGGACTTAGACTGCTACTGGAACTAACTTGTATCTCCTTTGTCACATTAGTATTTGAAGTTATTTAATCGTCTACTGATAACATGAATTTCAACATACTTATCTGTTTCATTCAGACCTTGAACTTCATCGTATAACTTCGATTTTTTCTCATTGTTCTACCTAGCCCGTTTGGTTGACGCTTTGGAATTTCGCTCTGAAGTTTTGTCGCTAATTTTATCATAATAATTATAAGACGACGTATTTATATTATTAACTCAAATTACGGCTGAATGTGTCAGATTACAATAACTAACTTCAACAGGTAGAATGGGAATGCAGCCTAACTTTACCTCGACGCTGGATAAGGTATTTTACTGAGCACAATCTCATTTGCTACAAAGCAGTGTGTCCCACAAATGGTCCTCAGACGTCACAGTCTATCCAGCCTTAAGTAATCACACCCTTTACATGCAAAACTTAAAGGCTATTATTGATAGGAATATTTGAACTACTGACAACGGTTCAAATACAGTTCAAACTAAGAAGGAGATGATATACACAGGCACTAAGAGAAGATGAATTTTAGTATTAGTTCAAGCTAATCGACGAGCGAGTCTACAATTCTAAGAGCCTATTTCCTTATAATTACTCCCTTCGGCAAGCCAAAGCCGGAGTTTCCCGTTTATTCGGCCACAAAGGAACGACCAAAATTGATACTGCGGAGCTTCCAGTATAACAGCATCTTTGAATATTTCAACCTTCGCATACGATCTAAAGTAATAAGAGGTTTACCAGTAAACATAAATGGAACCTCAGAAGTGAACCAAAGCGCCAGTCTGGCTTATCAAAAGCAGCATCAGCTAAACAAAGAAATTTCTCGTGGCCCGGAGAATTTTCACTCTCTTATACTGAAAGAAGAGACTTCAATCTTGGTAACACTATCTGGTGTGATGTTCTTACTCACAGCATTCTAAAATCTCCTGTGTATCCCTTACAATACTTACTTAAGCTCATACTCAACTCAAACCTAAGAGAAATTACCAGAAAAGTAGAATGGACTGCTGGCGTATTTACTCTTTAAAAGTGGTCAAACTGTAGAAGCTAACGACTGAGGTGGTAAAAGCGCCTTCCCCAGAGTCCTTTGACATTTCTTAATGACTGTAGACTGTATTTCATTACAATTTAGTAATATTTCCCTTAAAGTGGCTGAATATATCTAGGTTCCCACTTGGAGGCACCGGTTACCCGCTGTTAATAGATACGGAAGCCCATCAGCTTAAGGATTCTCCTATTCCGTCGACAGCCATTACAAAAACCTGAACTGATGTTTGAATCTCTTACATTGTCTGTTTGTTCTGACCTTAAGAAACCCGCCAAAGAGGGATTTTGTAAAAAAGTATGCCAAGGGGTATGTGCCGAAATGAACTTTGATGGTTAATTTATACTACTGTAATCTTGCTACGTGGTACTTCTAGTTCATTTTAACAGGTTTTAGGATTTGTTTTACTTTGTTTAAAAACTTCTAGGTAGACCACGATGTTTTCAATAAGTTATTTTGTTCTCCTTTTACACTAAAACGTCTCGCCCGTCTAGCTGTTACGAATATAACTTATATGGTGTAGGTATCTTCATCTTTTACTGAAATGTCTTGCATGGCTATGATTGTTCAAAAGTTTTTCACACCCACTTTTGTTATGACCCATTGTGTTGAAATTGTAAAATTATGAATTTTCGGTGTATGCTATCATTACGTTCCGCAGTAAATCTATGGACATCTTACTCCCTACCATCTTCTGGTACTTTCTTTCCATTATTGAGTGCAGGTTTGATGTAGTCAACTTCTAGTAACACCTGATTTCATAACTTATGTTGCCGCTATATTATCTAGCGGTATGTATACGGCCCAACTTTGGTTCTTAGTATCTTACACATCACGAAAAAGCCACTGTAAAACTTTGAGGCAAGATCATAAATCTTTGATTGCGCGGCGACATGACCGCCTGAAGTTGTGAAGGGGTTCTGTAACTTGATTTCATAAGTGGTCGTCATCCAGAAAAAAGTTTTTAACTCTAATTTCGGTGTCAGTTCGTGGATGACAGTAGGCTGGGTGACTTGTGTTAGTCCTAGCAATTTCGATCTTTCAGTTGACCCAGATTTTTTGGATGTTTCAACAGATAGCGTTTCAACCGTGTCGGAGTAATAAATTCCATTTGTTAACGATCCAATGAGAAAGTCGGTAATCAGCTGGCAATTAACTTGCTCTGGTGGTTTGAACGTTTTCAGTGTTCTCGTAAATTCTATTGACTGGGATTAATTATTGTATGTTTTCGCATCAAATACATCTTACATCAAAAATGAGTTTGGACATGATTTTTCTCGAACATAGTTTTTATCAGTAGTCTATACGTATAAAATGTCTGTTATATAGTACTATAAACGTAGTAGATCATACCATACGATATAATGAGATTTGTCTAGACTGTTATTGAAATTCGCCATTATTTTGGAGTCTATATACCCGGTCTAATAATAGGCATATACCGGGATTTAGTTTGATGTTTCGATCACATTTTATGACTATTCTCCTCTATTAACGGAAAAATCTAGGAAAGATGGTTAGTCATATGAGCGTAGACTGCGCAGTTGAAGGTTCTCAACTCCTTACCATCTCATTCTGTTTTGTTGCTTGATATATGTAGATTCAGTGGACTGTTAAGGGGTGACTCAGTCAGTCAGTCAGTTGCAACGTAGAACTTCGTACGTAAGTACATCAGTTCATGTCGCCATACCACATCAGCACAGAGATATAATTGTCAATTCCAATCCAATAGTAGAAGAGGTAGTAAGGGTATTAGAAGTAATCGGAGAGGTTAGAATTAGAAGATATTATTCACGAAGTATGATTCAATGAGAAAAGTTTAGAAAGTAAAAGCTAGAGGTGTTGAAGAACCCAGAAGATTAGGATTTGAGAGAACACAAAGAATAAATGCACTGGCGCCATTGCGAACGATTTTGAGCCATGTCATTCAAGGTCTCTAGCCATCGATTATCATCATCTCGCGGACCCCAACCAGGTAGTCGACAATTACCAACATGGCCAAGTCCACTCGTCAACGACTTCATGGATTTATGCCATGTTTTGGTCTGGCCGCCCCTAGCTTTCTTCCAACCTATTCCTACACCACAAAACAAAGCTCGACGAGGCAGTCGGTGGTTAGGCATACGCAACACATGTCCCAACCACCTCAACTAATGAAGTTTAACCACTTCATCGATTGATCTGCCATTCTTACCTAGTACCCGTTTCCTAATAACAGCGTTGCTAACTCGGGTGTCCCACGATATACGAGCAATGCTTCGAAGACACCTATGATCGAAAACCAATAACCGACGAGTATCTTCTACTCTCATTGGCCATGTTTCACAGCCATAAAGTAAGACGGAGCGAACCACTGCGCAGTACACTCGTCCTTTAGTCAGCAAACGGATATCTCGCCTACGCCATAAGTGACGCAGGTTGGCAAAAGCCAATCGAGCCTTCTGTATCCGTGCCGAGATTTCGTCAGTCACCAGGCCATCAGCACTGATGAGACTCCCAAGATAAGTGAAGCGGTCTACACGTTCGACTACTTCACTCCCTATCACTAGTTCAGGTGCCGATGCAACCCAATCTTGAAGCAACATTTTGCATTTCGAGGGGGAAAACCGCATCCCGAACATGCTTGCATTGTTGCTTAGGGTAGTCAGAAGACTCTGCATTTTGTCAGCGTCTTCACCAAGTAGGACTATGTCATCGGCATATTCTAAATCAATAAGCAAGCCACCCGGTAAGAGGTCTACTCCAGGAAATTCAGACGAGGATAAGGTAATTTCTAGGAGCATATCTATGATAAAATTAAACAAGAATGGAGAAAGTGAACATCCCTGACGGACACCACTTGAATGTAGAGAATTCAGATGACAGTTCGCCATAAGCTCTCACTCGACCAGTGGTGTTCGAGTATAGGGCTTGTATAAGGTTAATGTACTTCTGTGGTACACCTTTCAATGACAGACACTGCCACAGAACCTCACGATCCACAGAGTCAAATGCCGCCTTAGGGTCCAGGAAAACAACTATTGTAGGACGCCTAAATGTGTGTCTGTGTTCCAGGACCTGTCGTAGTGTGAAAATGTGGTCTATACAGCCACGTCCAGATCGAAAACCAGATTGGTTTTCTCGAGTTTGCTCTTCACGAGCTTTCGTTAAGCGTCGAAGTATTATTGAGGCCAATATTTTAGATACTATATTAGTTAGACTTATTCCTCTGTGATTGTCACAAGAAGACTTCTGTCCTTTCTTATAGATTGGGACAATCAGTGATTGAGACCAGTCGGATGGGATTACGTCCAGTTCCCAGATTCTACCTAAGATCTCAGTCAACCTAGCTGCTAAAACTGGACCACCATCCTTAAATATCTCAGGGGTCAGTCTATCAGGACCTGCAGCTCGTCCTCGCTTCAGATTTCCTAACGCTTTTTCAACTTCATTAAGATTAGGGGGACTTAGGTCGATTTGCCATTCAGGATGACTGGAGATCGTGGGTAACCGAAGAGTGGCTCGAGGCCAGTTGAACTGATCCCTAAAGTGTTCTGCCCATCGATCCAGTCTCCTGGATTGAGAATGAATAATATTCCCATCCTTTTCTGAGATAGTCTCACTTACACTATGATTCCTAATACCAGTTTCCTTGATAAGTCGGAAAAGTTGTCTACTGTTGCCGATCGCCGCTGCCTTTTCCATCGCTTTTGCTTTCGCCACCCACCACTGTTCGCGATCGTTACGTAGGCTTTTCATAAGTCTGCGCCTAAGTTGACTTCGTTCTTCATCATGTTCAGAGCCAGGTGGGATGAGTTTTCGGGCATCCATCAGATCGGTGGATGCTACTGAGATCCACGGTTTCATTCTAGCCTTATGGTCAACCTTACAAGCAGATATCACTGCTGTTTCCACAGCCTTCTTGATATGATTCCAACCTGCCTCCGGATGGGAATCGCTTAAATGGTCGCCTAACTGTCTTTCTAGTTGTTCCCGAAATATATTTTTCGCCTTATTATCATTAAGTAAAACCCTAAGAGGCTTTCTTACGGTGTCTTTCCTAAGTCCGGTAAGCCTCGAACAAATACGCGCTCACACTAGGGCATGATCTGAATCTAAACATGTGCCCCAGAACGAGCGACAGTCCTCTATCGAAGCCCTCCATCGGTGGCTGATGGTGATGTGATCTAGTCGGGTCCAATGTTGAGACGACTTCGCGGGTTGCCAGGTCAACAGATGCTTTTCCTTCTGCCTAAAGTTAGTGTTTGCTAAGAATAGGCGGTTGTCTGAGCATGCTTGCAACAGACGGTCACCATTGTCTGTTCTCTGAGCCGCGACACCATAACATCCACCTAGGTGTCTCTCCTGCTCACTTAGTCTACCTACTTGAGCATTAAAGTCACCAGCCATTATTACTATATCAGAGCGCCTAGCTTTTTGGAGGAGGTCCGAGAGCTTTCTGTAAAACTCATCTTTAACCTCGTCTGAACTGCATTCAGTGGGGGCATAGGCAGATACGATGAAGAGGCAACGGCGATTGTCCCTATCTTTCCGAGTCCTTACTGTCCCGTTTAGTCGGACAGCGCACAATCGACTATCTATTGGGATCCAGTCAAGGAGAGATTGTTCTGCCCTACGACTCAATGCTATGCCTACGCCAGCAAGACCCCTGGAAGCAGCATCAGGGCTACCGGATACACGAAGAGTAAATCGAGCTGCTTCTTCGTTTTGACAAGGTGGAATCAGGTTAATGAATTTACTAGAATCCTGTATGCGCGTTCCCGAGACGCAGCATACATCGATGGCACGAGATTCTAAAGTCCTAGCTAAGGAAGCCTGTTGCCCTATTTGACACAATGTCCTTACATTAAATGCTCCAACATGTAGTCTAGAGCGAGGTTTAAGGAGATCAGGAACGACGTTTCGCGAACTCGTATCGTCTGCATTAGCTGTGCACTGTGATGAATGAATGTGAGAAGAGTTAGTCGTGGAGATAAGAGAGACATTAGGGGGTGCAGGAAGATGGATTAGTGTTGGTGCGTGACCGCAGAGTCCAAGGGACAACTGCTTGAGGCCGGTCACGCACGGCCTTTTTATGAAATGTATTTTGAGTATTAGCTCCGTTCTTAAAGGCCCTTAGTGGGCACCCTTACCCAAGGAGACGGAAATCCGTGAGTTAGGGGAGGTGTGACATTTTTAGGGCCGACCTTTTCTAACCCTTCCTTCCTTGTGAGAAGGCAGCATCGCTGCAGATGCTGGTTGTCCGAGGGAAACACCTTACTGCTGTCACACCCCTCTGCAGTCAGCAGTATGACTTCGCCCTCAGACCTTGGGTAGCTGCTTTTAGTCTCATCGTTCTCCAATCGACCTGTCTGGCATGGTATAACCTTAAGGAACATATGTTCCAGCCAGTATAGCTCGGTTGGGTCATGACGATAGGCAAGCCCGACCACCACGTCAAGGTAGCAGCTACGGTCGGGTAAGGGGTGACTCAGTTATGTATGTAGCATAAAAAACCTATATGACACTCATACAAAACGCCGAAAGCTTTTATTAGGGTAGGTGCTGCTTCCGTTTACTATTTTTGTATTTTTTAAAAAACTAGATATTGAGACATTACTTGAGAAAGTCTTTTTTAAATGCACACTAGAGAAGGATTTTAATACCAAAACTGAGGTATAGATATGTTGAAATTCTAGAATTAGGTTAGCTCGCTAGATATAACGGGCTGAGTAATTAGTCGTGCCTACCTCACCTTTTTGATCACATGTGGAGTACTCTTGTTTTGACTTGTTGATTCTGTAATTATTTCGCCAAGTGAATGATCTAATACCAAATATGGTGGTTCATTATCTAGATAATCCGGCTTTGAACTATCAATACTCATAGTGTCTGTATTCCCATGTTTCTGTACCACGAAATATTTGGGTTTTCTTAGGACTACCTTTAATCTCTTTTCGAATGGGGGATAAAGTGAAGCTTGAAACTTTTCGTATCTCATTCAAACTTGCGTGCAAGTGCTTAGATCCTTTGGTGTACATGTGGGCCGCAACTGTTCACACGTCTTCGGTTCAAGTCTGGAAATTTGATCTCTTAGTCGATCCATATAGCTTGCTAGGTCGAGCTATTAGGTTTCAAAACATAAGGATAGATAAACTAGTCGCCCGAATTCAAAAAACTCAAAAATCACTCCATATCAAACTCTAACACGTTTTATATTTCTGTATGATTTTAGACAAACAGGATCTGGGATATAGTCACATACTGTTCAACCTAATGCTTTTTTTACATCTACAGATTATGACAAACGCCCTCGGTCAAGATCTCATGATCGATACAGGGATCGCAGTGACAATTGCGAACGTTCCCGTAAGCATCGAGAGGACTACCATCGAAGAGATCGTGATCACGGATATGATTATGAGGAAAGAGATGTAGAAAGAAGTCGATACCGACATGAGAAAGAAAAAAGAAGGGATCGTGATAGCCGACGAAAGCATGAACAAAATCATAATGATGAAAAGTGGAAGCGTCGTACACGCTCTAGGAGCCCTGTGCCTACAGCTGAAGCAGAAACCGTAGAGTATGAAGAGGGTAACTTATTTTCGAAACTCACCTACCTTTTTAGCAGAACCAACTGAACCTGTAACCGAGGAGGAGGCAGAAATGATGCGCACAATGGGTTTCTGCAATTTCGGTACTACAAAGGGAAAACATGTGATTGGAAACAGCGTTTATGTGGCAAACATTGCGAAACAGCGAAAGTATCGTCAATACATGAATCGTCGTGGAGGTTTCAATCGCCCTCTTGATCCAGTTGCTTAGATACTTGTATATATTCTTCCAAAACGCGCTTAATATAACCAAATGCATTGATAGCAAACATAACCGCATTGTAATATGGATTTCACAAAATAAGATTCTCCAACTATTTCCTATACACAATAAATGTATATGTTACGTTAAGAAGTGGGAAACTTACGAAAAATAAACAATACACTACTTCACTTTTCGAGCTGGTTTTATTTAAAAAGAGACTAGTATTTGAAGTAAACTGTCAAAGCCACATGTTTCTTATAACAGCATTAAGAGTAATTTTTGTCATGCGTGTATCATCTTCATTTCATACGAATCGTGAGTAAGTCGATCTTCAGTATTATTTACAATCAGCTTGGTTTGCCTATGTTGTACACTTTGATTACGCAATCAGATCTTTATATACTTTAAAAGGTCGCAGTTTTTTTTTAAGGTAGGGTAACTAACCTAAGTGACAGTGCATGCATGTTCAGGATGCGATTCTCCCCGTCCTAATTTGAAATTTCGCTTCAGGATTGGCTTGTATCGCACCTGAACTAGTGATAGGGAGTGAAGCAGTTGAGCATGTTCACCGCTTTACTTATTTGGGATCTCATATGCGCTGGTGGCATAGTGACTGACGAAATCTCAACACGGATACAGAAGGCTCGATTGCCTTCTGCCAGCCAGCGTCACTTATGGCGTAAGCGAGATATTTGTTTTTTAACCAAAGGCCGAGTCTACTGCGCAGAAGTTCGCTCTGCCCTAGTTTATGGCTGCGAAACATGGCCGGTAAGAGATGATATACGTAGGCTACTGGTTTTCGACCATAGGTGTCTTCGAAGCACTGCTCGTATATCCTGGGACAATCGAGTAAGCAATGCAGTTACGGGTATTGGATTTGATTTCGACTAATTTAGTCAATGCTGTTGTTAGGAAACGGGTACTACGTAGGGATGGCAAATCGATGGATGAAGTATTGAAGTTTCATCATTTGAGGTGGTTGAGACATGTGTTGTGTATGCCCAATCACCGACTGCCTAGTCGAGCTATGTTTTGGGTTGTAGGAGTAGGATGGAAGAAAGCTAGGGGCGGCCAAACCAAAACACGGCACAAATCCATGAAGTCACTGACAAGTGAACTGAGTCATGTTGGCAGATGCAGACTACCTGGTTCGGGTCCGCGAGATGATAGTAATCGATGGTTAGAGGACTGAATGACATGGCTCAAAATCGTTTACAATGGTGCGGGTGCATTCATTCTTCGTGTTCTCTCAAGTCTTCACCTTCGGAGTTCCTCGTCACCTTTTTCTTTTAAGTTTATTTCACTAGATTTTACTTCTTGAATAATATCGTCCGACCCTACTTTTTCCGATTACTGCTACTACTTATACTATCTCTACTACTATGGGATTTGAAGTGACAATCGCGTATGTGCTAATGTGGTATGGCAACTTGAACTGGTGTGCGTACGTACGAAGTTCTACGTTGTAACTGATTGAAGTAGGTAAACACGGACTATTTAGCTTGTCATCTGAATACACAGTACTGTAGAATATTATAAACATATCTTAAATTTAAATCAATGCCATACATAACCTAAAAGTGGAATAGGATCCATATAGTGTGGTGTGAGCTACTTATAAGTAGTATATGGCGTGAGCGTCAACGTAATGTCTGGCAGCGGGAGATGGGGAAAGATCAAGAAAGGAAGAGTTAGAAAACAATGGAATTTGTATGAAACGCATGAATAGTGACAATGGATTGATGTTTGGCAACAGGAACAGTCCAGTTCGATAGGATGAACTGATATTTTGCAAATAAACAATTTACGATATGGTTTTCAAATTTTACTGAGTAACTCTGTAATTTCGCTAAATACAATTCGGTTGCCCCACCTGTGTTCTCATTCACTACAATAGTATGGTACGAAATATGGCAACGAAATAGTGTCATTACTATTAGTGAAATATCACAGTACTTAACTGAATCGTTAGTTTTTTTTGCAACATTAGTGATACTGTAATCTTTTCAAAAAATATTTCATCAATACTCATAAAAGTGTCTGAAAACCAAGAAACTGCTTCATTGCTGCGTTGAGTTTTATTCAAATTATCTGTTGTATAAAAATAATGAACAATACATGTACACAGAGTAGATAATATTAATTTGTGTTATAACAGTTTTCCTGTTTTATGATCGTTTTGACTACAACATTCATTTTTTTGCCAATGTAGACCTTGTCGTATTAGTTTTTCCCTTCAGCCAAGATCTGTTGTGTAATAATGTGAATGCTTGGCATTAATCATATAGAAGATGAAACTGCTGGTTACCTAAAAGTTCAATATTTCGGGAAAAAATAAACATTTTGGTGCATTAAGGTTCTGATATAGATTAGTCATCCGAATCACAACGGTACAAAGTCATCGCTTGGTTTATGATCTTGTTTTTAAACAGTAACAAAGATGGTCCATTCATTGAATTTAGCAATTTAGTTAGACATTCATCATTTATGAGTTGAACCAAGGCAGGTTCTACGTTTGTCATGAGACATAAGAGTGCTAAAGCCATTAATTGGCTTTCGTTCGGGTTCATATGTACATTCCTACTTGTAAGACTAAAAGCAAAAGAAAAAATAAAACACTAATGATTAGTATCAAATCGCAAGTTACTAAAGCTGCTTTATTTCCGTACACTATCATCTCGACCGAGAATTGTCACCTTGACAACGTAGTTCAACTGAACTAGTCGATATATAGATAGGATGTTTACTTACCAATACCTTATCGTTACCAAAAGATCACATTGAATGACAAGACAAAAGTCAATTACTAATATGATGAGATACGATTGTAAAAGTTGTACTATTAGATAAGCACAGACGTAACGATGGTACATTGCAATTACTGAATGATTTCAGCGAAGTTCGTATTGACAAATCATAAAACAGCAACCATCTCAGGTAATCATCAATATTTTCCAAGACGTCGAAAAATCTCCAACCAGACCATCTAGCTTAGGAAATGTGCCACTGAAAATCTTCGCTGATAATGAAGGGATAATCTTTTGAGCAAAAGTCAAAAATTTTCAAAGGATCTTCATTCAGAAACTTAGATTCAATGAAATCGAGCTATAAATCTATCAAAGAATTAAGTAACTCACTTGAAATAAATTATAGCATTTTCTAATCTTCTGTATATACAATAACTGTTTAATTTTAAAGCATCCAGTATTCGATGCATGCTGGAATCAAAAAATAAAGAAGCTTTTTTAGATAGGTGACTATTAGAATAATCATTTAGTTTACTGTTTCGTATTGTTTTATTAAAAAATTAACTGCTTGAATCGAACTCCCCTGAAATAATAATGCTGTGACATAGTCAAAGAATGAGGCACAGTAGTAATAAAAGATACTTATCTCTCAACGGAGTTTGCTGACTTAAGTAGGAAGACAATTATAAGCTACTAAAATCTTGCTGAACTGAATCTTAGCTCGTTCGAAATTCTAATTTAATTAGCTCCAATGAAAATGAACGGAGTGTCTCTTATCATTTTAAACAAAGCAAAAGGACTGTAGGTCTAGTTTTACTCCAGACTTTATGCTCAGGACTTATTACTGATATTGAAATGATAACACATGCCATCATATTTTATATTAATATTAAAATCATATAATCTTGTGTTGTATGGGCTTGATAACTAATTTTTTCAAGCCAATTCAAATTGGCTGTTTACGAAAAGATTCATTGACGGGAACTATCATCTTACTTAAATAACCATTTTTGTCAATGTACCCAGTTAGTTCCTCCATAGTCCTTCAATAAAATTTTGTTCAGGTAAGCAGTAAATTATGTTCACTCCTCACATGACTATTTTATGCTTTGTTGTAAAAGGATGACATTGATTTAGCTATTACTATAACTGGACAAGGCTAACACGGCTTAACTTAAGAAAAAAGATAATACCTTATATCAGGATTTTATCATGCACCAAGCAAACATATAGTTGAGTATACAGCACAGAAAAATCTTACGTTGCACGCAAACATTATCACAAAAGTATTGTATACAACTAGATAAATATGAAACCATAGTAATTACGTCTACCTTCTTTTGAGATCATCCAGAAGGATTTGTCTACGGAGAACTTCAGGAGAAACCGAATCGATAAGCGGTAAAACACAGGTAAGCGGATACTGGAAAAAGCAAAACTTAAAATAATCCCATGATGTATTGGATAAAATACTAATCTTACTAGACAAGTGTTTCATACAAATGAACAGGCATAATATGAATGTCTGAATAATAGGATGAAATTTAGTGAATATCAGCTAATTTAGACTGTACTTAGCACATAGACATAACAAATCCCTAAATGATTTCGTTAAGATCATTTTTAGGTTGTGGAAGCAAGAGACCAAACCACTAGAAATAAACTGGCAAAACACTGATCACTGAACATGTGGAGAAGTAAAACCATAAAACAGATGTGTACACACTGATAAGAATAAACATCTACGGAACATGTGAGCTGAAATTTAGTAATATTTTAGTGCATACCGAAAAAATATGTGAGAATCTACATGAATTATTTTAAGTAGAATTGACAACTCAATCACGAAGTAGGAATTTAAAAGTGTACAAATTTGCAGCTAACTTTAAGTGGATGTACTTAGATCCACACAATCTTGAATAAAGAAAGAGAATCCATCTTTATCTTGTCATAGTGGGAGAAGACGGAATACATGTGTTTGATAAAAAAAACAGATTGTTTATGAAATATGTACACCTAGCCTATAATCATCCATTTAAATCTGTTGTGTTCCGCTGATCGTATACTGTCACCTCTTGCTAATCTTCCGGTCTCTAAATACTCTGTTCACGCACTGCTCTTCAATTTCCTGACAACGCTGCATATTACCACCACCACAAGAGTAATCAATACTTGGAAGAGTAAAATAATTACTTTTTGAAAGTCGAAGTGAGAACAGACTGGTTAATCATAAGTAATAAGCCATTTTATTCAATTTAGTTTCAAAACAAAGTAACTTTGTTAGTTTCGCATCTTCTATAGACCATTTCTGCACTAAATGTATGTAACAATTCTTTTGCACACTGTGGTTGGTATAAGCGCTGAAGAATTATGCTAAAGTAGAATGAAAAATCAAACAACTCACGTCAGAAAATTGAGTGTCATTACGACTTTTTTCCTTTCTTGATGAGAAATGTTTTGAGTAAAATTGCTGCAAAATCCTGTTATGTAACTCATTAATCGAAGATGTTTCCTCAGATGTAAATGTATAGGTAGTAAGAATAGCAAAGGCTTTTTCAGTCAACCACTCCTGTAGACGTTTTGAAAGTCTGTCACATACGTTAGTAGGAACATCATTTTGGTTATCCGACGGCTGTTTGTAATCTGATGGGGACACGACACGTTTTTCTAATTGATCGTAAGAAGTAACTGTAGATTTACCAGGATCTAATGTATGTGGAAAAATCTCACAAACCGGAATACCATTTTCATTATTCGTCCCCAGCGAAAGCTTCTCGAGTTCCTTACGTGAATACTCCAATGTACTACTCGACAAGTCATTAGATTCGGATTCAATATTCATATTAAGTTCGTTTTCAATACTTGAATCACTCTCAGATCCAGTTAGAAGTAAACGATTTTGAACATCTAAAATCACTTTACCGACGTGTCCTAAGGCATTCTGAGGTAGCAAATTTATGTGACACGGTTTTAAACTGTTTATGGGACGGCACCAGGCAGGTTCTTTAGAAATCTGTTTGCGTATGTGATATGAAGCGCGGTAACACCAGTCTGAGCAAAACGGCTATCATGAACAAAATCAATAAATTTAATCAGAAATTTCGTAACTGAATAACAAAAAATATCCTTAATTTTTCACCTACTTCACATATAACGAATTTCTACTAAATAATGAACTTTTGTCAGCAACTAAGATATTAAGAAAACTTGACAAAAACGAAATGTATTTCTTACGTGATTAAGCACGATAATTCATAAAGACTTACAGTTTGTAAAATTCTGTTGAAAAGCGATGTACAACATATACATATATGGCAACTTGAACTGATGTATGTACGTACTAAGTTCTATGTTGTTGCTGACTGAATGACTTAGCAGTCAAGCAATAGCTTGCTATTTGGCTTAATGAATTAAATGGACTGTATATGAGATACGATGCGAGGGGGTCCAAGTTTACAACTGAATGAGTTTAAAAGTGTAACGGTTAAAATACTGGTTTCAGCTTTAATAGAAATAGTCTGGTTTGTAATGCAGCAATGAATAGGTAAAAACTCGGCCTGGATCCCCTTTGAGGTTGCCTCCAGCTCCAAATCCAGATAAAGGAGGGTTAGGCACGGAGGTAACAACCCCATCGCATTGAAAACTAACTCGTTAAAAAATGATAACCAGATAAAATAATTCAAACCGTTTCAGCTCTGCCCCGTAAGTTGGAGGTCTTCACTTAGGAGAGTTATGACGTCTCGTGATGAAAGCTGAGTTGCTTCAGAAGTCACGAGGACGATGTCTGTTCTAAAAACCAGAGGAACCATTAATTTGGTCACATTAAATGTTCGAGCATCGTGAGAGATCAGTAGGGTCATTCATGTTGCTGTAAAAACGAAAAGATACAACCTGGAGGTGTTTGGAATCAATGAAACAGGTTGGACAACTAAGAATAGCTTCAGGACAGATGCTGCTGTACTCCGACCATGAAGAAGAAAATGCCTCACATTCACGAGTTGCATCGATTCTGTCAAAAGAAGCAAAAAGGGCACTTACAGGATGGGAATCTCATGGTCCCAGAATCATCAAACCATCCTTTGAAACAAAGAAGGAACGGATCACAATGAATACCATTCAGTGCTGTGCGCATACCAACGACGACAATTAGGATGTTAAGGATCGATTTTATGGAAGGCGGCAGTCAATTGTCGAGAAATGCCCAAGATCGGAAAACACAACACTGATATGAAGACAGGATGGGACGATATGTACTAGGAGAAAGGAACGGAAACGGCAAGAGATTGGTACACCTATTTGCCTTCAAAAAAACTGGTCATAGGAGGCACCATATTCCCACATAAACGCATACACAAAGCTACATGGGTTTCATCAGATCACACTACACAGAACCAAATCGATCACATCTGCATCAGTGAAAAATTCAGAAGGACAATGGAAGACGTGAGAACAAAGAGAAGAGTTATTATGGTTTCAGATCACCACCTGTGATGGCCAAGATGAAACTGAAAATAAAGAAGCACTGGACAACTGGTAGGACAGCATCACAAAAGGTCATTATACAGCCTCAGTTCGGGGTACTGGAAAACAACTTATTCAGGATACCCCTCGGCAACAAATTCCAAGCCTTTCACGATCTACTCAAAGGGAAAGAAACTAAAATGAAAAGGGACCACGGAGGTATGAGGTTCTGATACACAATGATCACCATCGCCATTTAGTCAGACTCTTCACCGAATAGAACTATGTCATCAGCATACTCTAAGTCAGCAAAAATTACTCCTGGTAGAAGGTCCACTCCGAAAAGTCAGATGATGATAATGTTAACTCTAACAGTATATCTACGACAAAGTTGCTGCCACGGAATGGGAATCATTTACATGTCTGCCTAACTGTATTTTTAATTATTCCTGAAACATATTTTTAGCTATGTTATCATTAAGTAGAACCTTGTGGTGCCTTTCCTACGTCCAGTAATTGGCAAACGTTAACAGAACAAGCTACGGGTCAAACGTGGAGAAATTCGAATGCTTCACTTCCATCTGAAGTTTGTGCTGATGATGTTGTTCAGAAGAACAATGAAAGCTCCACAATCAAAATAACCAGCTCAGAGAACAAAACACCACCACAATCATCCACCTGAGCTACAGGTTTTCTCCACCATCTCAGAGATAGTTCTGCCCTACGACTCAATGCTATACCTGCATTAGCGATAACCCGAGAAGCAGCATCAGGGCTTCCAGATACACGCAGAGTAAATCAAGTTGCTTCGTTATCTTAACATGGAGAGATCAAGTAAATGAAGCTACTCGGATCCTGTATGTGCGTTTCCAAGACGCAGCATACATCGATGGCGCGGGATTCTAAAGTCCTAGCTAAGGAAGCCTGTTGCCCTATTTGACACAATGTCCGGACATTAAAAGCTCCAACATGTAGTCTAGAACGGGGATGCAGGAGACCAGTAATAAGGTTTCGTGAACTCGAATCGTTTGCACTAGCGCGCAGGGTGATAAATGGATGTGAGAACGGTGAGTCGTGGAGATAAGAGAGATGTTTGGGGGTGTAGCAAGGATTTGAATGTGACCAATTCAGTCTCGTGTGTTGTTACGCGTGTGAGGGCGGATGCCACTTCCCGGCTGCCTACATCGTCGAAGAGTGTTTCTTGAGGAACCTGAAAAGGAAGGTAGATTAGTGTTGGTCCTATAGGCCTGGGAGCGTGACTGCAGAGCCCAAGGGACAACCTTACTGCTGTCACACCCCTCTACAGTCCGTAGTACGACTTCACCCTCAGACCTCGAGTAGCTGTTTTTAGTCTCATCGTTCTCCAATCGACCTGCCTGGCATGGTAGAACATACAGGAAAATATGTTCTAGCCAATATAACTCGGTTGGGTCAATACGGTAAGCAAGCCCAACCACCACATTAAGGTATCACTTCCGGTTTGGACTTAATCACACTGAAGGCTAATGATACTACCGGCCTGTGTGAACTGAAGTAGATGGAACATAGTTCCGACTGTCAGCCTCATAGACAAAAGCTGAAAGTTTTAACCGATAGATCCATTATTAGCTTACATAGTTCCACAAAACGTCCGAGAGATAGGTGCTTGGATGACTAAGGATTTCGAACAATCCAGATTCTTTAACATAAACATGGTTACACTCACAATTAGTTTGATAGTGCATGAGATAATGATTAACATAATAAATTATTCGTGGGTCCATGTGAAGGAATATCATATTTGTTTGTTTCAACTTAACAACAGGATGCATAAAAGGCACTATAACTGAACACATAATTCTAGCTTTACAAACTTTCCTGAAATTGTTAAAAGATTTAATAATAAAAATTCCTGATAAATTCGTGAGCAGAAAATTGAATTTCTGGTTTTTCGCAGTATGGTATGTAATTTCCTCAGTGCAAATTACTGATTCGTTTAGAAACATGACTTTTTACTCTTTGAGCTACTGCAAATATTCGTTGTTTTAATGATTAACAACCTACTTAGTGTCTAATTCTTTCGAAATTACTAGATCAAAACTTGGTAATAAAACTAACTAATTCAGAAGTTTAGAATAAAGATTTTAAAAATCCTAAAGTTTTCACTTATCTCCTAATTGAAGTTTGGAAATAACTCTACCTTAATTACCGTTAAAATCTTAAACTTCATTTTCACTGATTACTAAATCAATAAAATATACTATTCTAAACCCTATTGTCAAACATTTCGCTGCATACAGAACACGACCAGAAAATAGGCCTTTCTAAACTACAATCTACTTTGAAGTGATTTAACACTAATTTTCAATAAAACCAATCAATGTGTGAAACTCACTCGACGCTTGGTAATGTCGTATACCCTGCGCGTAGCTGTGCAAATACGGTATTGTTGTTTAGTGGTTTGACCTTTAGGCTTAGAACATAACACGTAACCACAATTTCCATAGGCATTTCTCTCAACCGAAATATCATCGTACTGTTCACGTTCCAACCATGGTAACTATATTGATAAAAAAACAAAAAATAATCGCTCACTAAAAATTCCACTATACAAATAGTAAGAAGAACTAACATTTACAGTTTCAACTAGAATATTTTTTGTATAACTAAACAGTATTCAGAGCCCACTTAGTGATGGTTTGTGATGAAATTTTCACAGATTGTAAACTAAAATATAAGCTGACCGTACAATGGCTTCAATAACTAATTTCTAAACTCCTTGGAATCCTGTTACCGAGCTGTTGTACGGTATATTGACAAGATAAGTTTTCAATAAAATAACGAGATTTGACATATAACAAAATAAATTCAAAAGTCATTCTGACTTGAAGTGATGATCAGTTTAACTTGGACATATCTGTAACAATCTGCATAGAATACCTGTTTGCTGGAAGCTGAACATGTCAGAGAATTCAACTATGAAATTTTCTGAAGACCAGACCAGAGCGTTTGACAAATCATCATAGTCAATAGCGAGATACTTTAGAGAAGAATGAGAACTTAAACTTCAAAGCCAATAAATTAAAAAAACACCAGTAGATAAATAACATGAATAAGAGTATTTTTATCTACGTATTATCATTTGATAGATAGATTTGATGGACACAATAGATCCCGAAATTTCATTTTTTTTTTGTCAATGACTGGTGGAATAATTTTGGGTTTTCGTTACAGGTTAACTTTATCTGGAGCTTCATAAAAACCACAGAGGGTTAGATAGCCATTTTTCTTTATAGGATATCTCAGTAGTAAGCATTTACAAACAAACCACCACCGATCATACTTAGGATCTCCATGTCTCGTCGGAAGCATATAACATCTAGACCATTGAGACTGAATTCAAAAGAACCGATACTAACTTTAATAATACTTATGTAAAAATAAGTTTGCTGGAACGCATATACAAAGAATCCACTTCGACTATAATTCAAGTTTTCTACTTTTACTTTGAATATGTACGTTTTTTTAAGAAAGAAGGTAAATGTAAACAAAAATATTCATGTGAATACTTCCAACTACATTTACATACTCATTGTATACTTGGGAATCAGTAAACTTGACTCATAATAAATATTAATACAGTTGATTGTGAGAACAAAAAGAATCATTGAAGATACAAAAAACTACTAATATGGTTACTATATTACTACTTACAGCATAAGCTAACATATTTGCATTTACAGGATTGTGAGCGAATCTTTCAACGATGCGTAAAGCTTGGCGGAGAAACAGCGCTTGTCTTTTTTTCGTTTCGACTCTATCTTTGTTCAGTCCTTTGAAAGGTGGAGGGGCAGATGGAACATCGAATTCATCATCTCTGTCTAAAGACATCTAAAATTGGTAAGAGCTGAAAGATAAATCTGAGAGTAGTTAGTAAAACAATAAATAAAGAGAAACAAATATATTCATAAAAAGCAACGTAATAATAAAAAAGCAATTCTAGTGTTCTTATCAGTGAGATTCGGGATATAAAACATGCACGAGTAGAGAACAGTCAGTACATTTTGCATACGGGACTTGGCATAGTACGGCAAGATCGTCTAAGATATGGCTTCCACCACAACGACAAGGAAACCAATAACAATACAATCCTTGATTAGGAGATTTTACATCTACGTTATGGGTAGATATGCATTCATTATGAAATTGATCAAACGATATATCACACTGTACAGGCAACTCAGCGGAACGAGATATAATTTTTTGTTGTCTCAACAAGGCGTCATAAGCTTTACGTTTCTCTGGATGTCGTAAAACACTCCATGCTCTTTCTACAACTAAAAATTCCTTATTTGAAAGGTTCGGATTTTTATCTGGATGAAATTTAAGTCGAGCTTGGTTAACAAGTCGTTTGATTTCGTCCTCTGTTGCATCCATGGTGCACCCTAGAACTTCATAAAAATCATCCATGTTCCTAAAAAAAGGTACAGATGTGAGTCAGCGGAACAAAATAAAAGGAAAAAAGTGGAATAATTATAATGTTGTATTTCAATTGTATATACATATTTCAGTATGCGAGTAATAGATTTTTAATCGCTTTCTTCATCAGAGTCACAATACTCTGGTGCTTCACGTTTAGCCCACTGAGGCTCTGATGATTGTGGAAGTTGGACTTTGTTACTTGAAATGCAGCTAGTTTCTATATTATTGTCAGTTTCATCATCTCGTCCTTTTATGCACTGCACAGGAGAATGAGAACAGGAATGATTGTGTCCATCCTCTTGATCACTTTCACTTAATTCAGAATGCTTCTTTTTTTCACGTAGCATAGCAATACGAGATAACAGATTTTTGGCAAATTTGAAAAATCCTTTAGTATCTGCGGTGCATGCGTAGCATCGTGCAGTTTTCTTATATCGCTGAAGAGCGCAGTCACTACAAAAGTAATGTTTGCATCTTAAGAATTAGACAGACAGATCTATCGAAACATACATGGTTACAACAGGATCTTTATAGTCTTTGCGACAAATCATACAAACTAATGAAATATCCTCAAAACCTTCATCTTCAAGAGAATTGTGCGATATTTCGTAACGATTATCTTCACCATCAATTCCATATACTCCCTCGGCCAATTCTTGTTCTATTTGCCAACCGTGTTTATAGTCTGATCTATCGTGAAGGAACTTGCAGCTATCGCCAAAACTACAAAATCCTGTTTCTTTATAATCCTGAAATGCAAGTAATTTAGGACCAAAACAAATATACTCACTTTACAAATATCCGGTTGATAATCCCATCTTACAGTAGCCCTCAAATTGGCTGGCGCTCGCATAGGACCCTTACGGTTGAAACCACTAGATGCATTTCCCATAATAGTATCCTTCTTTTCGATGTACTGAGCATAATTATTGAGTCCCTTATATATATTACGATCCTGAGATTCCTGAAAACAGGCATTATGGTATTAGTAACAAAGTATAAAACATACCTGGTTAATTTGTTGTGCCTTTTCAAAGATAGCCTGTGCGTCACATTTCACATCGGTATCGATCTCCACAGTAGCAGTTGCAATATGGTCTTTTGTTATCCTAGATTCCTTAGAAATTCTAAATATCATAACACAAAATGTACCTTGGAATGCGAAGCCTTATAAGTGACAGTATTGAGAATGTTGTCATCAATTTTTTCAGTATCATCATCATCAGACGAGCACTTTTTGTTACCACCAAACTTTGAAGTCTAAAATTGCACATCACATTTATCATTAGCAAACCTGTTGATACAGCATATTATTGATGTGACGTCTTTTCTGAGTTTTGATGACTGTTTCGTCTTCACTAGAAGAACCTTCCTCAAAATAAAATCTATGGAAAAGTGGTACCTTCTTTTTGTCGTACATTTTTTCGACTACGTTTTTTGAAGAACACACAACTTTCGTTTACGTTGTCAGTCATACTTAGTACTATATAAAAGATAAAAACAGGCTGTCACAAACTTAGCATTATCTTTTGTAATAATGAGAAATGAAGCCAAGTTTTCTGAATTTATGTACAATGGTAACTATTAGATTTCATTCGGTTTTCACTGCCATCAAGACCCTGGTATATGCAGCTAGGAGTATGGGGGGACACTTTCGGAGGGCTGAAAACATGCACGCAAACCCTACTTCAGGCCCGGTTTTCGATTAGTGTTCTTTTCCACACATAGCTACGAAAATGACTGCCAATGGACAAAATGTTCTTGCTTGTTTTCGTTACATTACAACTGCTGAATTGAATACAGATTCATTTTGCGCTTGCTTATCTTTCTGTTTCATCATATTACCATTAGGCATTTATGTTTATATTCAAATTCACTCACCAGCTCGCCTATGGTGGAAATCTTGTCTAATCTAGAACGAACTTCAGTCACTGATCGGTTGAAATTCGAATGATAACACTGATTAGGGATTCTGAATTAGCTTCTCAGCAACCACGTGCCATTTAAATTGGTCTCCTCTAATATTTAAAAACCAATGCAGACCGGACAACGGACTGAGTTTGCCATGCTTTTAGAAAGTTTTAACATAAATGTCTGTTGTATATTCGAGACCCATATTCAAAACTAGTGGAGTATGACAAATTCTGTCGTTTCGAAAAGCATGTTTGACGGGCATTTATTCAGAAACCTTGTGGCTACTTTGTCTGGTTTTGCGAAAATTGCTTGTCAATAAGTGCTAGAGCTGAGGCAGCAATAATCCATTGGATTTCGATTAACAGTCAATAATGAGGTGTGATGTTTAAAAGCTCCACAAAAGTGAGAAATCGGTGCGGAAAACGATGTCTTTACTTATAACTTCCTATGCACCGAAAGAATGCAGCTCAGGTGTAATTAAGGATTTTGTACCAACTAGATGATCTCAGAAAAGCACACTTGATGGAAATCGTGGTGGTAGACGGATATTTGAATGAGCAGTTTTAGCGTCTATACATATACAAGTCATTTGAATGGCTGGTGGAGACTCGGTTGCAGGTCAGACAACAGTGAACATCTTCAACAGTTGGGGACAGAATTGGACATGGAAGTTCAGGACAGAGTAGGTTGGTGAACACTGGTCGGCGGTTATCGTCAGTGTTCACTGGAATCGTTTCCCTGCAACTCATACTTGGACTCAGACTGGTCACTTGGCGATCAGCTACCGCATGCATGGTTGTATACATGTTTCACTTCTTTTTGACTACGTATCCGGACTTCCATCATGCCTTTGTTTGCACTAGTCTTCACACAGAGAAAAGTCATGAGCCTAATGAGAAACCAGTTTGATAAATAAACAGACGCTACTCTTGTTAAAATAAGCAGGGAAAACCCGGAAGCATCTGTATTTGTCCCAAGAAACCTACAGCAAATAACACAACGGTTGGCGAAAGGGTTAAGTTTATCTATAAAGGCGAGCAAATCATAACCGATGGAAGAACCTAAAGCTTACAGAGCACATATTGAAGTAGAATGATGACCACTTTGACCCAACACGATTGACTTCATATGTGAGATGGATGTAAAGGAACCCAAAGAAATACAGGATGAAGTAATACATAATTGTAAAGTACATGAGAGAAAGATAACAATCAGAAAAGACACTTTTTTCCGATCTAGTATGAGAATGTAACAAATGACGGTGGTTACAAAGCATTGAGAAATGGGAATTACCGCTACCAAAATGAGAGTGATTAAGTACTATCTGGTAGTACAATAATCAGAATAGAATAGATAGATACGGTCAGCGGTCTGAGATGGCAATCGTAACGTCTCTAGACATACATCAAGCACAGCTTTTCCACGAGGGAGATGATAATGCGTATGTGAGTACATGTTTATCAAGTCTCTTCTTAAATCTGTCAAATGAGGGAGCATGTGGTCACCTCAATCGGCAGAGCATTCCAAGTTGCAACGGCTCTTAATCGGAAAAAGTGAGTACGAAGCTGTGTTCGCTCTTTGATGCGCAATTTTTCGAGGATTACGTTGAGGGGGTTGATGGTAATGCATCGATAAAGTGCTCACGTTGGAATGGTTTGGCACGCCTAATATGTTGTATGCCATAATCAGGTCACCTCTCATCCTCCTGTAATTCAATAATGCTCCGAAGCCTGATTACAGCTCTTGAAGAGCAGACTGACTGACAGGAAGATAGTCCTAAAATCTGGAGACTATCTTCATAAGTTTTATTCTCGAACCTTATCACCCATTTTGTTGCTTGTCTCTGTAATCGATCAAAGAGATTAATTTCACTTTTAAAGAGAGGGGGTGCGACGACGTTGTGAACCTCAAGGTACGGGCGCGCAAATGCATTAAACTATGTTAGGAGTAATTCTGGGGTGATAGCACCTGATTGTCTTCGCATAAAGTGAAGAGTTGCACTTGTCTTGGCTTTTTCCCCCATATAGTTCGACCTGGTGTGGAGGCTTTCAGTGGTTAATAAACCGAGATCGCGCTCTGAGGAGACATTAGGGAGCGGACTTCCATTGAGTGTGTGAATCGTTTGCATCATGTGAGGCAGACTGTGCATGACGTAACATTTCGGCTGGTTAAGTTTAAAACAGTTTTCCCCTGCTTATTCCTGAGTGAATGAAAGGTCCTTCAGAAGCTCAGTCAAATCCTCTTCGCACCTAAAGGACCTCCAGATCTTTGCATGGTCTGCGTAGATCCTAGTCGACCAACTTCAAGGCAAATAAACTAATGACGGACCTGAAGAGATCAAATAAAATAGCGTAAAAGAATTATTTCTCCCGCAGTCGACCTTTTCTCGTATTATATATTACTAGCAAAGATAGCGATCGATAACAATATATGCGTTATGTTTCAGTACGATGACCGATTAAATATAAGGAATAGATTGAAACTATTTAGGTATTAAGGTAGCTTGCTGTACACCACTGCTGCTCAAACAACTAACTTACCACATATAAGGAGCTTACAAGTATAATCCACTATCTGATTGGGGTTGTTAGAAAATATTTGTACAAATGAGCATATAATTAACGACACAGAGAAAAGATTTTTTTATATGCGTACTATATATAGTGAAGAATTCGTTACTAAGGTAGGTTTGAAAAAAAAACACTTATTAGCACGGTCATATGAACTAAATCACATTAAAGTGTAGCGTCTCTACTAATAATTCCGCAATAACGTTCAGTTATCAACACTCCCAAAAGTTTTTGAACGGTCGTATATAAAAACCATTCGTTTCGGTCTTGGTTTGAAAAGAATGGGAGTTTAGGCGGCTCATGAAAGTGTTGACAAACACTGATGATGAATCATGAAATACATTGTGACTGGATAACATGAAGTTAAAAGTTAGTCGCCGCGTATGAATAGGTACCTTGGTGAAATCTATCGGCTAGTGCCAAATCCCAGAACGATCAGCGAGTAAATTAGAAGCAACTGAAATTCGTGTC